TGCTCGTATAAACAACACTACTCATTCATCCACGTCATGAAATCTCCCATCCCTTGTTTCAGTGAGACGATCATGAGATACAGATACAGTTTTCCGGTCAGAAGACATGGCATTCTATTTGAGAGAGGTGTCACAACTACGAGCATCACAAATAATATGCTAGATGCTGCTTTCTAGATGCGTTCTATTACGGCCTTGGGTGGCAACGCACATACAGTAGACGGAGTCTCATGACACACTCTCGGCAGAATAGAGCAAGGTTTGCAGTGACGGTATGACGATGGCAGTCTTAAGCTTATGATCCATCCGAGGCTATGAGGACTTGAAGCTATCGTCACATCATGTCAACCGGCCGAGAGCCCACAGAAGGGACTCTTAAGTATTGGATTTGACTTGATCATATTGATGTGAACATCGTACCTGAGGTATGAACAAACCATTGTCAATGGTGTTAATGCTCTCCAGTCTGTCCCTCGTCTCGCTCAGCCACTGTCGTCCCTCCCCGTCCCGGAGGCCTTTTCTCTAGCACACTGAATCAAAACACAACTTTTTTTGCTCCTTCCCTTTTGTTCTGAGTAAGTCGCTCCTTCCTCTTGCCAATTCGAAGGTTTCCTATTACTGAATTTTCAAAGCTTTATCCTCTCGTCGATTTCTTTCCTCTCTCCCTCCTTCTTACCTTCACCACCGCTACCACGTCCACACCCACCACCGTAGCAGCAACAACGACATCACAACATCACAACATTATCACTTTACTTCAATTCACGCACCATCAGCCGCTATTGCCACCGCCGTCATAACAGACCCTCCCCCATTCTCAGTAGGCGCAGCGGTGAATATACAGCCTCAGATGAAGGCCAGTGTTCCCTACGAGGTCTTTCTACATGTTATTGAGCAGCTCATCGAGATGTCAAAGGACCGCTACGACATCAAGGTGTGGTCTCTCGGCTATGAGCACAGCTTGGCCACCAAGCTTGTGCTCCACGAGCTCAATAGCACAAGGGTCAGGTCAGAGACCATCGCCCACCAGCGCCACCAGAAGTTGCGCCTTGCCCTGCAGATCAACCAGCAGTCCAGACGCATGGTAGAAAAGACCTACGCCCGCCTTCCTATGATGGTCGCCAACCCCGACGGGCTCACTCGCGGCCTCAGCCCGGTCAAGGCATTCGTCCCTCTCACAGACGAATATATCCCTTTCTTCACATCTCTTCAAGAAGGCCGAGAGTTCGAGCAGTTCATCTACAATCAAGCAGTACTTTTGCCCTCTTCGTCCGGCTACGCCCTCCTCACTCGCATCGAGAAGATCTTTCTTCCGTTTTTGCGCTACCTCACCACTAAAAATGCGGAGTCCCTTGCAACTCTCGTTAGACTACCAAACCTTAAGTCAATCGTCTTCAACGTCGGCAGATTCAGTGGCGAGCTTCGCGACAGCATGAGGCCAGGTCTCCATAAGGTTGACTCGGAGGACTTTCCTGACCTTGCAAAATTCTGCACCCACAGGTCCTCGGCACTCAGAACTCTCTGGGTCGACCATCTGCACAACAGAGGCGTCAAGCTCCTTGGGTTCATCGACAGCAATCAGAATCCGATCATTGAGTTGCACCCGAGTCGCGAGAGGATCTTGATTAGCTACCTTCTACCTTACGCCAACGAAGCGCTCAAAGAGATGATAGAGAGCATGACACAGCCCACGACGCATATCATGAACCTCGCGATTCTCTGATTTCAACATGGACGAGATAATGAATGATACAAAGGGAGGGATACAGACTCGTGTTATGGAAGGAGAGGAAGGTCTCTGGCTTTTTGGTTATGAAGGACAGATCTGGCACCTGGCTTGTGATGGATAGCTCTCGCCTCAAGAACTAGTCTATCACAGATGGACAGGTACTACGGATGAAGAAAGAGTTTCCAGCACACCGGCTCATTGGGAGTCACACTTAGGAGTTATCAAAGTCTTTGTCCCATGCATAGTTCACCAAAGGTGATCCGATCTTCTTTTTGCGTATGTCTATCATGTGTGCATGTTGTTCTCTTCATCTCAAGGTCTTTCATGGAGCCTTGCTTTGCCTGAGATGAAGGTGACTGGAAATTGATTCGTATAGTGGTCGGCCACTCCGCCATAGGTCTGATTCTGCGCCTCAAGTCAAGGGTGGACATGGAGGCGGACAAACAAACAGAGCCCAACATGACGACCAAGCGGCTACTCACATAAGCCCGATTTTCCTCACTTGACAAAGCTTTCTTTTTCCTACTTCGCCTCATTCCTTCTTTTCCTTTTCCACCCTATTCCAGCACTGAGCTTGGAGTGTTGGGTACTTAGTATTCGACAAGACATCGCGAGATCCTCAGTTTTCGCGGTCGTAAGGTACGTTGACGACTCATCAAACCCCTCTGCTATTTTCATCTACTAAAATCGCTCATCTAGGTACAATGGCATCGGAGGCTACCTCCTCATCTTCTCCGGCAGGCGTGTCAAACGCCGCCGGAGAGTGCGGTCAAGTTCGCCTCGCTAACCGAACGCTCCTCGCAACTGCCTCCTTCGCCAATATGCCGCGTCCCACCACTCGACGAGGTAAAGCCGGTCCCGCAGACCTGCCTCGCGAGGTCTTTCTCAACATCATTGATGCTTACCTCGAGAACGCTCTTGCCGACAACCGTTCAGTCCTCTGGTTCATCGACTACCACCATGACGCCCCGACCAAGCTCGTCCTCCGCATCAGAGGCTGTAAAGTCGGCACTGAGCAGGTTGAGATGAGCGAGCTCGAGCGTTTCCAGAGCATTTATCTTCCCCTTCAAATCGACAAGAAGACGCGCTCCATGGTCCACCGCCACTTCCGCCGCATGCCCGTCAAAAAGCATCACTCGTACAACTCGCCCCTCTCCGTCGTCGACGCCTGGGTCCGCCCTGAAGTTGACCTCTTCACGCCCGACTTCAACGATACGGAAGACGTCCACCCCCCGCGCGATATGAACTGCTCGGCGGCCATCCGGCTTCCCACCCCCCTAGGCTACGACCTCCTGAGCAGCGTCCAGCATATCTTCCTCCCGACCCTTCGCTTCTTTCAGAAGAACAACAAGGTCGCCGTCGCCGCGATCTCTACGCTTCCGAATCTCAAGACAGTCTCCATCATCGCTGGCTACTCAGTGCCCATGTACGATGATCCCGAGCTTCTGGCGATCCACCCGGGCTGGATGAAGATCGAGGGTCACCGTTACCCAGATATGAAGATTTGGGAGGAGAGACACGGTCGTGCCTTTCGCAAGTTGTGGCATCCGTTCGAGCGGCGTGATATTGAGTTGTTTGCGTTCAGAGATAACATCAAGCCGGCTGTTATGAAGATGAAGGTTACCAAGGAGGGTATCCGCGTTAACCATCTTTTCCCCGACTGCTCTTGTTGCCCTCCCGACATTGAGTACAACGACAAGGAGAGTTGAATGTTGAACATAGCCAGCTGTACTTGAACAACGTGCCGGGCTACTGGGGATAAGGTCGTGGAACTGTAAGGCAGTTGCTCCTTGGGCAAAACCTGGATCATCACCTCATGTCAGAGCCAAATGCACCAACTAGGGCGTTGCCGAGATAGTTTACCTAATGGCCATCGAGCGGCGGTTTGAGTCCACAACCGACACTACGTCGAATCTCCGCCTCGCTCTCGCTGATGATATGGGTTACCCTGAGCCGCTCAGCATCCAGAGATTCCGACAAATATCTCTTCCTTTGCAAATTAACAAGGAATTTCGAGACTCACTAGCCTAGTCTTCATACCTGTCCCCTCGAAGTCTTTTTATTATACGCTTATACGCGAACTAGCCCTGACATCATCGTCCTCCCTGATGTTGACCTGTTTCGGTCACGCAGAATTGGAAAGGGTGACAAGGAACTCCTCCATTCATTATTCCCGACTTTCGCGGTCCATACTTTCATGCAACACGTTTGGCAATTCCATATCTTGGAATTGAATAGGACGAATCTCGGAATCATAGAGAGTCTGCCGCAACTTGAAGAAGTCATGTTTAATGGGAGAAATCCCTTTGACAAGATTGAGATGAGTGATACCCAATGCGTACTCGACGCAATCCCCATGAAACCCAACGACTTCCCCGAATGGAGCAACGATCACCTCCCCCAAAATACTAGCTTTGGATCATTTTGGTATCCGTTCAGTCATCGAAGCATACGCGTATATGGAACAGTATTAGACAGTCGGCTCTCTTTTGGAATAATGTTGCTCAGTTTATTCTTTCTTCCCTTTTTTTCTGCCCAGAATAGATAATGCCAAAAGAAGAGTCTGAAAATTGGCGCCTAATCCTGTAGGCATACGATCTTTTGACTTTCGAAAGCTTGCTTGAATGCTTGAGAGAGAAAGGTCTATATCCATATTTCGCCGAAATCAATGCCAGAGAACCATCATTACGTGACAAAATTTTCTTTTGGAGATGGCAAAGAAAAGTTATTAGACTCCAGCATTGGTAGGACACTCAAGGTTCTTCACCTGGTATCTCCGGAACCATCAGTTCTACGAACATTATTGCTGCTCTTCTCCCCTGAGAACGCTGAGAAATTCTACCAAGAACAGATCACCGTCACGAACTTCTCATACCAAATCATCAATACTGTGAAATCTTACGCCTCCTTGGTTGTGTCTCGCCCAGAATCACGATGCAGCAAGTAACTACAAAGACAGCGGAGGAAGCCCATTACCTCCCCCGCCTACCAAACGAGATCATATTGATGATATTCGACAACCTAATCGCAGACGCTGCGGCCGACTGCCAGCCCATCACGTGGGATATTCATCAAGGAATGGAATGGTCTACCAGACGCCGATCTCATACCGCAGTAACCTACCATCCAGAACACCAAGAGCCCAGGGAGCTACTTTCCTCAATGAAGCGCTTCAACAGTATCCGACTCCCATTACATACCTGCTCATGGAACAGGGCCCTGACTATGAACATCTTTCATCCGTTTTACTATCGCAGCAACCTCTTTCGAGTATTCAGAGCCCCACCATTAGGGGATGAAAACTACATGCAATGTAATAAGCAGACCGGTGTCTGGACAAACCCAATACTCGACGTCTTCTGTCTTAGTAACATCCCCGTCGACAGCCGCGAAACGCACATGTGGCCGTTTTCGCGACCAAGCAGGCATCAGACCTCCTTGCCCCGCCAGCTCAGCGTCACGACCAACGGAATCCTCCGAGTTGTCCAAAACGTCAGATTCGACTGGGCCAAGTCGGGTATAAAGTTCCCAGAGGACCTGTCAGGCGCGCTCGAGTGGTGTCTCTCTCTTCCAAACGTCAAACGCATCGACTTGGACAAGCACCCGATGCATCCTACCGCCGGCGTGCCCGGGTACTTGAGGACGGGACGCTTTCAGCTCGCGTCTGGCAAGTTTGGACCCGAGAATCTTCACCTTGCCGGGCTACCGAATCGGATCACCTTTTCTCTGCAACGCCGTACGACGGACAAGGCCCCGTGGAAGGCGCTCCGGGAAAGGAGGGTCCCAGTTGTAATTCGCGACCGGGCCTTTAGTGAGGAGCAAAGTCACGAGACTGATCCGCTGGAGATATTCCTTGATGAGAGTGATGAGATTTGCTTCCGGCTCTTTTTTCGGTAGTCCTCCATCGTTGTTAGGTTAATACTAGGATGGGGGGTGGGGGCTCTTCACTGCTATTGCATTGGCAGACTTGGGCTCCAAGGGAAGGGGGAACCGAGAAAAGACGTTTAGATTGAAACATGAAGCTTGGCTTTGGCAAAGACTTTAGAGCACAAGTGTCGACATCCGCAGAAGGGATCTCGGAGCACACATGTAGTGAACTCATAAGTCATTTCTAGAATCTGGGAGACCCGTTCGTATTCGTTGACGATGTTTTCGAGGATGAGTATTCGTAACAAGTAACGGGGGGTATCTTGGGTTTGATCAAGACAAAGCGACGTTCGTTATTTAGGAGGAGGTCTCGGGGTACAGTGACTTTCAGCATTTTGAGGAAGTATCTCATGCTAAGGGAGTCGATGGCATTAACCGCCGGTGCCTTGGGGATCGTTTTCGAACGGCTGCGTAAGGTTAGATGGTATTGCTTTGAGTTGCCCTGCGTTTCCCTTTGCCAGTCAAGCATATTCAGGAACTAGTACTTCGATACCTCTACGTCCTTCCCATCACGTGTGACAAGTAACTATTCAGAGGCCTCGGTGGCCCTCAACGTACTTCAGAAACTGACAGATCCCATGGCACTTGCCATACTTGAACTACTTGAGTTTAACTCCGATTATGGGACGGAGGAAGGGAAGTACCACAAGCTAGGTGAGGGGATGATGGCATGAACACCATAGGTGATGCGCGAATATCTCGGAAATGATGATCTTGAACAGGGGGGGAGTGAGACTCAGAGTTCCGTGCAACAAACATGTCTCGTCAGCGAAGAAGACATCGGAAGGCCATGTCCAAACGCCCCCCCCCCCCCCCCCCCCCCCAAAAAAAAATAACCCACCTTGTCCCTTCCACGACCCCAATCTGGACGACAAGAGAATACGACCAGATAGCGCTTACACCCCGCTCAAGCACATCCTCTTCAAGAACTCCAATGTCCATGTTCGTAGACGATGATTGACGTAGCGTCAGGACGTGGACGTAGCGAGGGGTATCAACCGGCCAACCCTCACTCCCCGTCGCGAAACCATCGTGAGTATCCGTCGCTCATCAGGACACGCCCATCCCGCTCTTCAATTCGAATCCAGCTTTAGTGTTGAAACCTACCTCCCATCCAACTTCCAAGATGTCCTATCATTGTTCCGGTCGTCCCGTCTTCCTCTGCGGGACTGAGCCGGCAGGATCGGTAAGCGCCGTCCTCATCCTCGAGGCTGGGTATCTCCGGAGCTTCGTCGCTGGCATAGTGGAAAGGTCCCATCAATGCGAATTCGTAGCAATTGTTTCGTGGTCGCTGTTGTCGCCTTCATTGCTTGTTACTTTCGTCGTCGTTGCCCATGCTTGTGTCCCGTGTCGACCCCCTTTTCCATCTATCTCTCGTAATCCCATCGCGACTCGGTCGTGAATCCCCATCCAGCCTTCCCATCAAACTGAAAAAATCCATCCTTGAATCTTTCTCAATCGTTCTCATGCCAAATCAATCGCAAATTCGAATCTCCTTTGCTCGTTCAATCGCCGTCTTGTTGTAATCCCTTAAGATTCCTCTTTCTAAGTGTCGCTCATCCATCACCATAGAGAATCTCAGGTCGCACCAAAAAAAAACAAGAATAGCGAAATACAAAGATGGACAAGATTGTAGGGAATCATTAAGATTATAGAGAAATCTATCAGTGGCAAAAACCCCCTCCCGCTGGCCGTCTAACAGCAAACCCCCGCCTCCGAAACGTCACGGAGCTTGATAGAAACGGGCAATGACGTACGGCCGATCACCGCCGATCACCATTCGCCTCCTCTCACCTGAATAGTAACCCCAAAGCCCCAAATCATCTGATTTTCCGCCAATTCATTTCATCTTGAAGAATTGCAAAAGAGCATCCAATCGACAGCGAATACGCAAAATGAATGGATAAATAAGTCGAATCGGCAAGCAAAACCGGGCCGATTCGGATAACTGCATAGCGAAGTTCGCACAACTCTACCTTCGCATAGAGAAACCCGCGCAAACAATGGTCGAAAAACCACAGCTGTTTTCCCCGCTTCTTGCAAACGGTCGATCTGCAGATCTCCTCCTCTTGTTCGCCGTCAGAACCGTCAGAACAGAGACCATCACAAAGGGTCCAGGAGAATCCCTACCTATCACGCTCGTCTTTCGTCTTTCTCTACCCATTTCGCAAAGCTTCTGAAACACCCATCATCCACAAGGTTCTGTCACCCCCAGCCGATTATGGGCCCCCATCTCGACATGCCGAGGCCCTTTCCTCTCAGAAGGATTCGCCGATCCCCGCCACTCAACGTGCCTCGTCGCCCGCCTGGCAGGTCAGTTCCCCTAGAGAGACTCTGAGAGCTTGCAGAGAGGTAGGGTGGCGAGCTGGCGAAATGGGGGAAGCAAGGAGAAAAAGGCCCATCAGCCCTAAACTCAATGCCACTCGGCATACTGCGACAGCTGCCCCTAAGAGGAATTTCCCCATGGCGATCGCGTCTCCATTGGTACTTCTGCCATACGATTACCGTCGTATTCCAGGTGATAGAGGTCGCAGATCTGAATATCTCTCTGCGCGACAGACCTCTCCAGCAGCCTCTTGTGGTGATAATTGCCCGTTTCTCTACAAAGAGATTGCATTCTCCCATGCAGATCGCGGAAACAAGCCAGGGGAAGCTTCTTCCTCGCGTGGCGATAGCTCGCCGCCTGGCCACTCGTGGCCTGCTGTCCATTGACCAGTGAAAACGCTTGCTTCCGCTGCCTCGAGGGCTTCTCGTCCGCTTCTCGCCTATCCCACGGGGAGCAAAGTCGCTTGTGGGTGGCACTGTGGGCGCTGATAAGTCCCCAAGGTCCCGAAAGGGAGCACTTCATTCCACAAGAAGCCAGTTGACAAGCGAGGATCACCGTCTCGGCTGCCGTTCTACAAGGGGAATACCCTCATGCAGCAAGTAACAGGCCAGCAGGTAGTGATGAGGATGTGTATCGCAAGATCCTGCAGCCCTAGCCCCTTCTCGCCTACGGTCCTCACTCTCCTTCCTCACCCTCGCCCCCCCACGTTCCGGGCCAAAGGCCAGAAAGGGTGTGGAAGGGGAACACCGCCACGAACTCGCGATCTTCCCTCTCAGAAGAGCTCTCGGGTGTGGCAAAAGCCTCAAGTTACCGCTTCAGGAAACTGACAGGCCTCGTGTGTTGTCGCCATTGGCTCACCGTCGACGTTCCAGCGGCAAGACAAGCGTCACTCCGCTACCGAGCAGAGAAACCTAGTCCCTCACTGTGGCTGGAGAGGAGGCGGAGGACGCGGTAAGGGGAAACGAGGAAACAAGGAGGAGATTCTCACCTCGAAGTCGCGTTGTCTTGAGAGAAGGAAGGGATCGCGAGGAGCAGACTGAGAAAGACAAGGCAGTGTTGATATAAGAGCGTAGGAGGAGGGCACCAGAAACTCACCTTCATCCATCAAGAAAGCCGCGTCGAGCATGGCCCATGGGGCGTCGTCGACTCTTATCCTCTTCAACTTGGCGAGAGTCCCTTGTGGCTGGGTTCAAGGCGTCCCTCTTCTGATGGAACCCCTCCGCCATGCCTCCCGAGTCCCGAGCCCTCGTGGCACCCCTATCCTCGGCGATCCCAAGAGTCTGGAATCGTGTAGGGGTCCTGTCACCCAATGAGCGAGCCCGTTGTTGGCCAGATAGAAAGTGACTTCTTCCTAACGAGACCCCAAAGACACTCACCCCTGGGGCGCCCACTCCATCCGACGGCTGCACAAGCCGCACCCACGCACCAACGCCATTTGTTTCCCCGTCCGTCACCCTCCAACTGTGGCGAGTGCATCAGGCGAGAGCCAGTCAGGAGCCGTAAGCCTTCCACACCTGGTGCACACACCCCAGAGAAGCAGCTGCTCAGCCACTTCAGCCACGCAGCTCTCCGCACATATCGGTTGAACACTCCAAGTGTGGCTCGCCTCTAAAGCCACATGAAGTAAGTGATCGACATCTTCCCTACACTTGTGGCGGACGAGTTCGAAGCCGAACATGAGGCCTTAGACCCTCCGCTAAACCTAATTGTTTTACGCGAAGGGGCTGAACCCTTGGCCAGCTGAGATGCAATTGTCTTGGGGAATCTGACTGGGTACTTCCCCTGAAGAATGATGCGATTTTGAGATATAGTTTGCAGTGATCTTCATGCCACAGAGGATCTTGGGCGCTGGATTGTCGACCTGTGGCACCAATTGTGGCTAGTAGCCACGCAATCATGGCGCATCTTTGTCTCGTCACAGACGCACAGAGGTCATCTGGAATGCAACTGCCCTCCTTTTCTCTGCATGAAGTATCTTCGTTTCCAATAGACGCCGTAAAAGCAGTGTGACGAGGCTGTCTGTCCGGAGTCTCTTCATGGTCTGTTGGGCCCAGATTCTTCTGCGTGGCTCTGGCGGTGCTCCCTTGGTTGTCGATGATCAGCGTGTAAATGCTCCGTCTCGGGAAGCCAGTTGAGCCACTCCCTTTGGACAAAAGGTCCCAGTCTCTCTCGTATCTTGAGCCATTCGAAAGCATCCAACGGACGACTTGGGAACTGATCTGTGGCGAGTGCTCTCCACCGTTTCTGGGCTGTGGCTGGCCCTCCACCTAGCCAATGTACCGGTACTTTGGATGCAGGACCTGTGGTTTCACCCGCTCGCGTAGACCTTCATCGTGTACTCGTGCCGCTGCATAATGCAGACCCTTAGAAACCCATCAAATGTCAGGCGCAGGGCCTTGCATCCGCGTCATTGGGACAAGGGATGAGACGCGTGGCCGAAGTGCTTACCGCTGCTTTTCTCTCTCTGGGTGACTTGATGTGTGATACAGCACCAGCTCTTTGGACATTATCTGAGGAATTTGAGACATTTTCAGGCTCTGCTGAAAGTTGGGCAATATTCGATGTATCCCTACGCTTGTTTCATCAGTAATGGGACATGGAGTTGTATGCGACCGGGGCCGAAGGTGTTACTGCTACCATTAGCCGCAGAAGATCGACCTCGTAAGGCGAAGGCCTCGCTTTCCGCATGCCAAGGTCGCTTTCTGACCCCGAATTCCCCGCACGCGAGCCCCTCTTGGGGCGTATCTGCCAGGGAAGTTCGAGGCTATTGGCGGAATCCTTCTCGGGTTCCTTCGCGATGTTGTGAGATTCAATGAGTTTGGCGTCTTCCAGTGATGATCCCACATCAAAAGACGGCTTGTCAGTCACAAACCCTCGCCTCGGCATTCTGTAATATCAGGCGGAACGGGCCCTTGGCTGCGAAGACATCAGACCAAAAGACCGAATGGGAGACCAAACAAGTCACGGTCTACTAGCGTAACTAACTCAATCCAATTCGTTCGTCTCTGTGCGTACGTACTTTAGAGTCACAACGTCGTTTGAGAGCTTATTATTTGACACCGTCTGGTAAACGAGTTTTCGTGCGGCCATCTGCTTGCGGCCGTCCAAGAGACCGGTCTTCAATCTTGCGGTTCTAGATCAGGGCGGCCTCCGTGATAGCCCCCTTCGGTCTAGACTGTTCAGTTGATGCCCTGGAGTCAAATACGGCATCGCTTTTGGCGAGAAGATAACGCGATACGTAGACGATCAAACCGAAAGTGCATGGCAAGGCTGTCCGCTCAGGTGACTGCCTATATGCACGCTGGTGTCATAGTTTCAAGATCTTCGAGGTCAACAAACCTTTGCAGCTCGATTTGCATCGAGCGACAACCTACTGCCCACCCCTCAGACAAACACAAGTACTTCGATGTAGCTGAGCAACGCAGCATCCAAAACGTCCACAATGGACCCTTGTAGTCGTAGGTAGTCGCTCACTCGCTTCGGTCAATCTTAAAGGTGTTTGGTCCTGCGGTGCGTCGCTTGCGCCACACGTGGCTTCTCGACCTCACGGCACGGATATGCGTAGGTCGTCTTACTAGCTTTTCGTTCCAAATTTGACTCATGTTTAGGTCATCAGAGGAAACATCCTCGAGCGAATAAGACAAGAGTCCATGGCGCTTCCAGGCCCTCGGAACACGCAAGCACTCGCCACATCATTAGTGGCTCGTGCATCTTAACAGGCAACGAGAGGTGGCGATCGCTGTGGCTTGACGTAGAGCAGCGAGGGGGTTGTCGGGCGGCCTCGCAAGGTATCTTGTACTGCGCCGATCGCACGGCATGGCCGGAATCCGGCCGGTCTATAGGTGTCTCGCCGGGGACGTCGGGAGAATGGTCTGCTGACGGATCGGACGAAGCAAACAATTGCCCCGCTATTCGTCAGTCGGTGGCCGCGGAGCTGTCGGCGTATGTAGCGAAAGACCCCCGACAGCGCATGAGCATCTGATGTGTCGCCTGTCCATATTGAAAACACTCGATGGGTTTTCAAGTGTATTGACTAACTCATTGACCGAGGCATGTTTGCTGAGCGATGATCTTCCCCAATTCGAGGATTCCGATCGGGGGATGGCAGTATCATGCATCAGTGATATTCAAGCAGCTGAAAGGACGGCCACCAACAGCTTTGGGTTGCCATCCTCGACGGGAACTCGTCACCTCAGCCTTTGCTATACGCCCGCCCGATCTTTCTCCTGTTTGCAGAGTAGTAAAAAATTAAGCTCTGTTTGGCCCTGTTGCTTGAAAGTCGTCTCTATTGCTCCGGTTGGCTGAGAACGGCAAATAACATGACTGTAGGGGCCAAAGCTCATAGGCTTTAGTTGATGCCGTATTCACGAGCCCCAGTGTCCGATTCTCTCGTGATTTCGCCGAGGATCAACGCGATCTGATTGTGACCACCAACTGAGAGGCTTTTCGCGTTCGTGGGTACGAATACGCCCGGATCCCGCCGGCGCGGCGCGGCGTCAGGGCGTTGGAGTGTTTGGTCCCAGGCAGACCGTAGTGGGACGGAAACGTTGTGTGGCTGGAGAAAGACGGCCGCCTTCCATCGACGATGTCGTGGGCTCGAAAGCCGTCTCCAAGGATTATCCCAGGCGCGGCAGACCGAAACTTTGGATCCGTCCTTATTGCAAGAGGGAAGTCTCCGCATATCTTGTTCGATTATGATGGAGCAACCGGACCCGCGATGACAGTGGTCTAGACCGTTGACGGCGCTAGTCAAAGTACACTTCGCCAGCGGTTTCAACGCCTCCCCGGGGGCTCCCACCGTCGAAATGAGCGCTTCCCACGCGAGATTAGCCACAGCACGGCCGTCTTCCAATCATCGTGCATAACGACCTAAACGGCGGCTTCTGTGTCCCAGTCAGTAATAACCGCCTTGCATGACCTATACGGAACCGATATGAGCACTAGAGTCAGCCATTGTTTCTGTGGTTCGGTCTCTCGGGCCTGGCAATTTCAATTCAAAATGTGCTTGATGCGGGCGCTGCGAAAATAATGCAAACTCATGTAAATGCCGTAAATTCTCTGTTCCCGGATAGACCGAAGGAATCAGCGGGTATGTTGTTATGGTACAAGCCGCAATGCATTGCAGTGCAGGGAGCTCGTCTCTATCAATGGTGCCCTCCAATGCTTGCGTCATTTCATCGGCCAAGCTACACGGCTCCTGAGCACTCAGGAAGCAAAGATACACAATGTGTTGCCTTGAACAAATGAAAGACATGGGTTGGATACCAAATAGTATGGTAAAAGATATTGATGCGTGAAATGAAGGAAGAGAATGGAACAGGTCGCATCAGAGGCCATTGGCAAGGTCGAAAGGGCCACGGAAGTTCGGATTGCCTGTGAAAACGTATTCGCCATGTGTCTGCCCGTCGGGCTTCCAACGAGCCTCTCGAGATGTGCCGAACGGCCCTTGTGGAAGGGCGGGATATCTTGTGTTTTTTTGCTGCCCAGGATTGCCCATAGTGACCCAGATCTAAATGCCCAAATCATAAAAGTCGCCCACGATTTGTGTGGCGAGAAGCGTTGAAAAGAAGAAGCGGCCCATCCAGGGACTTGGTATCTCAAAATCAACAACGCCTTCGGAGCGATATTCCAACCGTGCGTGTGCGAGCGCGTGTATGCCTATGCCACCCATATCCTAGTGGCCTCCCTGGTGATGGGCTAGAAGAAAAGTGAAGCCCATCCCCAGTCCGAGTCCCATCCAATTGTTGCTGAAGTAGAGATGGATCCAATTATGTGATATTAAAAGTTAAGGCGCAATTCGAAGCCGCCTTGTGCAGATGACTGGTCCATGGCGTCGCCATCGCTTGGGTCAACGGCCATGTCCCATTCGCGTTTGAGCTGGACAGGGTTCTCGGGCAAGATCTCCTTGATCTCAAGCACCATGTCTTGGCCTTCTCTGAGTTCTTGGATGACATCGTCGTCTATCGCGACCTCGAGACCACGATCGAGGACGTGGACTGTCCGCAGAATCTTTGACGGGTCTAGGTTCCACTTGGCAGCCACACGGTAGTTAAAGTCCTTGAGGTTTCTCTGGGCCAAGTAGACAGCCCGGTAATACTCCCGTTTCTCGGGCTCGTGTGGGTTGGGTTGAATGACGTAGAAGCAGGCTGCGGGCTTTAGCACGCGCTCTGGGGGTGGACGGTAAGCTGGGTCCACGCCTAGTGCCTCGATCCAGCCGCTCAGATTGCCCGCATCATCGGTTTTGGTGACCTTTGTAGGCTGGTCCGACCCTTGCCGGGAAGCAGGTTCACCAGAGCCTTCGCCCTCGAAACCGGTCCATTGACGGTTGGGAACAACTGAAGCCTGAGACGCCAGCGATAGGGAGCTTGGCGAAGGTGATACTAATGATGAACCGGCAACGGAGCTGCGGCCACTGCGCGCTTGCCATGCTGGCCCCTCGCGAGATTCTACTTTGGCAAGTTCGCCTTGCTCTCCGGGAAGCGAAACGGGGTGGAGGTCTGGATCATCGAGGTCTTCGCCGCGCAGGTACAAAACGCTCACAGGTCGGGTACTAGTGAACATATCCTGCAGTGTTTGAAGCTTGAAGTGTAAGTCTTCTTCGAGAGGAGGGCGGACTCCCGCCCCGGCTGAACTGGTGGAAGACATGGACCAAGTTCGCTTATGTTTCTGAACCTTGCCAGGTCGCTGATCTGCACCCTTGACTTGTGCTGCAGCATTGGACCTCTTGCGCTTCCCAAAGTCCTTCATACCGCTTTCCGCTTGGGTTATCTGTTGCTTGAGCTTGTCGATTGTCTTCTTGACATGTGCAACGTCGTTGGAAAGCTTCCGTTCGGCACCGTGGTCACGGAATAGCTTGACCTTGCAGAAACAGATCTCCGGGTTGGCGTCGGCTGCTGGCTGCGCAGTGTCTATCGGGAACGTGCTGGTCTTGGTGCAGAGTCTTACAGGAATACCCTTGACACCCTTGGAGTGACTAAAGTCGGTGGACAAAAAGTTGAAGCGTACAGCAATGTTGCACTCGGGGGCGCCGTTGATGCCGGGTGTCCAAACCACTGAAAACCCGTCAAAGGAGGATGATTCTAGTTCAACGCGGGTTCTCTTGTCGTCGCCTTCGGTCGGCTGGCCTGCCTCGACGTACTCTACGGCCTGCAGCTTTCCGCCTCGTTGGTGGGCTTCGTTTGTGCCTCTTCCTTCTTTCCACAAAGCCCAGCAGACGCCGGGTTTCTGTCTTTGCTGCTCGTCTTCGAAAGAGATTCGGACAAACGTTCGAAACTTGGTACCCGGGGCCACGGGCATTGTAGCATTGGTATCGACGACAGACAGAGAGTAAGCTTGGCCCTTGTTGAGATACGTAACGGGAATCTCATCAGCGTGCTTGATCATAGCGGTAGGGGCATTGAGAGTAGCGTGGAACCGGAACTTCTCGGCAGATGGTGGCATAACCGCAGCCATGGGCATGCCTCCGAATTGACGTCCCTGAAAACCGACCATAGGCGAGTTGTGGAATGCGCTGTCGATAGAAGCCATTCGCTCTTCAGATGGATCAGAGTTCATTGGCGATCCATCTTGCTCCATGGTCTCGTACCCAGTGTCTTGATGAACAAATGAGGAGGGAGCGAAGGATTGCTGGTGCGCCGGAGGCTGAATGAATGGATTGAATGGTTGCTGAAACTGCTGAGGGTGGTGCATTCCTTGCATTCCTTGGAAGCCAGCGAGGTCCATCATGGGCTGTCCAGCGTGCATTGCCCCTTCAGATGTGGGCATCGACAGAGGTGTCCCGAGACCCATGCCGAGCCCCAGGGTGGGTGTGTGCAAGTCACCAGCTTGGGGATGATAGATGGTGTTGGTGCCTCCCGGTGTGGGAGTGTAGTAACCGGGCGGCGCATTGGCGAAGTTGGTGAAGGAGAAAGAGTTGGGGTCAAGCAGCGATGGGGTGAACCTCCATGGTTCATTCGTGGCTCTGGGTGTTGGGTCTTGATCCCTGAAAGCCTCATGGCTGAGGCTGTGGCTTCTATAGCGAGTATAATGTTAGCCACAGAGTCGGATAAGTCAAACATCTTTTTGAAGGTGATTCTGCGGATAAGTCCTTTTGATTCATAGGTGGGTAAGAGTACCCCGCGTTTCTGCCTGGACTCATCCCGGCGGACGCGGCCGGGTGCCGCAGAAGCAACGGCAAAACTCTAGGGAAAGTTCACGACGATATCGTTACTGACCTTTCTTGTACTCCCGGGATGGACGGAATCATGCCCGCATTATCGACGGCGGCGCTCGCGGCGCCAACTGGGGCCGTGGTCGTTACAGCTACCTCGGGGAACTGCTTTCGAAAAGTGGCCAGCAATTCATCGCCGGGTTTTTGGGCGCTTGTTCTGTGAACAGGCACACGAGTCAGCACATGGCCGGGCAGGCGTAAAAAGGTTTCGAGATGGCGCAACGACGCGCGCATCTTGAGCGGGGAGCCAGGCTGCGCAGCTATTTTTGTCGGCGCATAACGACAAGACATGGCAGAGCTTACCTTTGGCGAAACATTTGGAAAGCAGATCTGCGCGCTGCCTAGTGACAGCGATACCGAGTTGGTGTTCAGTAGTTGCGGGTGGTCTCCCAAATCCAGTCTCTTTCTGGCGAACGATCGAAAGGTCCGAATCCTCGCCCTCGTGTTGCTGCTTTGCGACGCCTGTCTCTTTTTTTCTTCTTCTGCTGCCGTAATTCAGCTGAAGGAGCCTGAACTTCCTTAACGAGCGTAGGTCAGGTGGGGGAAAGCCGAGCTTTGGCGTCTCATAGAGCGGTCGGAAGTAAAACGAGCGAATGGGTCGGTGATAGCGTCGCACGCGGTCGCGGAGCCAGAGGAGGAAGAAAAAGCCCGATGCGAAATTGGTTCCTCAAATGGCGATGTGCAATGTCAAATGGCCGCTAGCAAAAGTCGAGAAGTTGCAGGTCGAAAGGAAAAGGCCGCTCCGGTATGACGTCCGTGGGGAGAGAGCGGTATATTAGAGGATGCGGTGGGTACCTGGCATGTACGTGTGTGAAGCAAGGTGGACAGACAAGGATGCGCAGCGGAGCAACGATGGCCTAGATGCGCAGTGGGCGTTTCTGTCGTTATTGGATCTGCTTCACCGAGGAGATGAATCTGGCGGATGTAGCGGCTTGGTTAAGAGGCGCAAACAAGGAGACTAAGACGTTGGCAGACAGAGACCATGCGCGCACAAGAGGTGACAACAGTCGGTAGTCCGTTGGTTTGCCAAAGGGTCTCGAAATCCAGGTGTTGTGGTTTCGAGTATGGCCGGCAGTGGTGCGTTGCTTGGTACACAACCTGTTGCTCAAGGTGAGTAAATGGACGTTGACCGACACAGCGCGTGGGTGGGCGATGTGTGCGTATTCTGTTCCAGGGCCGGGGAGAAAGGTAGAAACGATGCGCAAGAGCGAGAAGAGACGCGGCTACGATGGGAGGTCGGAACAGAACTTCAAGCAAGACATGTAAGTAGAGAATCCAAGGGAAGGGGGACGGATGGGATGAGCGGTATCTAATGTATGTATGTGTGAATGCGCGCTTGTAAGGCAGAGTAGAGAGAGGTCAGGTAAGGATGGGGTGTGCGCGCGGGTTGAACGACGGTGCAGTGAGCCCTTTGGGCTGGGTCCTGGGTTGATGGGTATGAGGATGGATGGGACCTGGGTCTGGGACCTCCTTGGAGAGAGACAGAGAGAACTGGGGCCCATGGGGCCTTGGGTTGATGCTGGTAATAGCAAGGGTGTGTGGGATATGGAAATGGGTGTTGGAGGAGATGGGTAAATGGGCATGGGTGAGGATGGTCGGGGGGATGGGTACCTTACGATGTGCTTGGGCGAGACTGCAAAGACAAGTAGCTGATGGTACGTACTCTTTTTTTCCCTCTTTTTTTCTTTCCTCTGAGGTTATGGTTGTGGATGTGGGATGGATTGTGGAAGTGAGGTGAGCTACTTGAGGTCAGGCAGCAGCAGCAGTGGTAGTGGTAGTCGCAGCTGGGTCGAGAGGATACAACGGAGGTGAGATGAGTTGCAAAGATTGTCAAGGTAGAAAGATGAAGAAGTTGGAGATGGAATAGTAACAGAAGTGAGGAGAAGTCAGGTAGGAGGAGAAGGATGGAGAAGAAGGCCGGTATATGGGAGAAGTCTGGCGGAAGATATGAAGAAATCGCAGTGGGGTGTGTTTGTGATGTATCCAACGGAGGATTTCCGGTAGTAAGGTAGGGTACCTTTACCTCTCCTGCCTTGCCCTTGAGGCGGGTGAAGTGGGAGCTGAGCAGAGCAATGATGTACGGCAGAGCAAAAGCTGTGTAAAGTACGGATACGTTAAGTAGGGTGATGTCAACCAAGGTACTCGATAGTTTAAAAGAGAAAAGTTGAGTTGGGTCGAGGTGGAATCAAGTAGATATCGGGTATGAGGAACAAACAGTCGCTTCCTTTGGGATACCAAGCACCGTGAGGATAATGTAGGTAAAGGTAGGGTAAATAGGTAGAGAGACGAGTCGGACGGGGGAGGGAGAACTAGGAGGAAGAAGACGATATTGTCGGGTGCCATTGGATGTGTGATGTGTGAGGTCGGCCTGCTGCTGCTGCTTCTTTTGCTGGAGCTGCCGCTTCCGCTGCCACTGCGCAGCTGGGCTGGACTTGGTCCCTCGTTGGCTTTTCTGGTCGGGTGGGGTGGACATGCGAGGTTCCGACTACTTGTTGTCTTGCGTGAGACATATGGTCAGCCGAGGTAGCGGTACGTGTCTTTGGATGTGGGACTCGACTTGCAGTACATGCGTGCCGCTGTTTCCCCCCCTCCTTTGCTGAGCTTGCCCCGGCTACTGCTGCTGTTCTTAGGTTGCTGCTCTCCTCGCTCCTGCTCCTGCTTGCTCCAGGTGAGGTGAGGTGAGGTGTTCTGTACCGCTACCTTCCTTACCTTACTGCGACTGTCGTGTGTGGACAGTGGCAGTGGGCAGGGGCAGGGCATGTCCATCGGCGGCTTCCTCCACTCGATCCCCCCTCCCTTGCCAGGCCGACTGTCCATCTCAAGAAAAATAATTGTTAGTGCGCGACAATAACCATTGTATCGCACCCCCCGCTCGCTGGCCCCCCCGGCATGGGATGTGTCGACAAGGCTCATTTATGCACACGCCCCTCGTGCCCTCCAAAAAACGGACGGCAACGGTTGTACCAATGTCTCTCGCTCTCTTGAGCACCAATCCAAGGATACGTACCCATCATCACTCAGATGTGAGAGGATGAGAAAACTGCCCTCGCTGATGTAGATGTACGAAGTATCCGTAGGTACTGCAAGCCGATGAGGAGACTCGGCAGAGGAGAAGCCCAGAGAGGCGAGAAGAGAAGAGGTGAGGTGAGGTGACGGACCGACCGAGTCTCTCTCTTGCCGTGACGCGCAGCTCTGTGGCTCCATCAGACCGAGGTCAAGCTCATCCTTTCAGTCCAGATGTATCCGTACCTTGCTCTGTTGTCTGTTGTCTCTGGCCGCCCCAGCTTCGAATAGAGTCACCACCTTCACGTTATGCAAAGGAGGCGCGCGCATTCATCACCGCCAGTCAAGCCCAACTCCGACGAGTGTGGCACCTCAATCGTGGCTCGAGCTCTGGCACTCTCCGATGTCTTTCTTATTAGGCCAAGGTGCTATTACGCAAGCTAAGGTGCAGAGTAGTGTATCCGTACCCATATGGAATACAGTACTCCGTAGTCCGTACGGAGTACTACAGACAGCATCGTTCTTTTGCCGACCAAGTCTGTTCTGTTATTGTCCTTCCCCTGCACAGTCAGCCGACACTCTCTCTAACTTCAGTAGACTCGGAGAGGAGAGATTCGGAGAGTGGGGGATGGACAGGGGGACGAAGCCGCGCTACTCCGTCGCAGCGGCGACCTTTCCCAACTGACGTAGTTCGTCTAGCTGACCACTCTCTGACAGAGCCGATTAGAATGGCAGATTGATTGGGATCGTGGCTCGGAGGAGACGTGAGAGGCAAAAAGACGTCGTCAGTCAATTAAGAAAAGCGCTGCACAAAATGCAAAGGACCACAAAGTATGGATCCCCGTCCACGGAGGCCTTGCTAGATTTCGCGACCTAAGTTGCGGATGCTAAGGTAGTCGGTCCCTCGTCTTCGGTTCTGCGGCGGCGCGGCCTGCCCTGATGCAGTCAGATGGTGTCTCGTGGTCGGGGGGAGCTAAGGTAGGTATTCTCAGGCTTGAAGCCTTCAACAGGCGGGAACGGGGAAACGCGCGAGTCTCGTCAGATGGCAGGCTCTTTCTGGCCCTCTTCTGTCTGGATTGGGTCTGGCTTCAGACCGGTGTGCTTTCCCCTTGTGCGTGTGCTGTGCGGCGTGCCTCTTTCCACCCCCTTAGGTACCTGTGTTTATGTAGGTGCTCCGCACGATGTTTGGTCCCTTGGGGCCCTTGGGGTCAGATTTCGGCGCCGTCGCCGTTGCCGTGTGTCCCATCTTGGTGCTTGGCTAGCCCTGGTAGTCGATATTGGCGAGCCGTCATCCGTGTGCGGGTTCGATGCGACAGGACAGCGTTCGTTCTCGAGCTGACCATAGGTCGGGTGCAGAATGGAAAATGGAGATGCTCGGTGATGGATGGGGACGGGGTCGGAGACGGAGGCACGCACAACTTCGGCCAAGCAAAGGCAGGCAGGTGCCTTCCGTTTCCTTAACGAAGAAGTAAACATCATCCGGAACGATATTCGTACATTATTCAAACATGCCTGAGGTTTAGGTGCTCCGTAACCACCGCGGTTTTCCCCATTCGCACTTCGTACCTGCTCCCGTGTGCTGTCCAATCCTCGCTCCTTCCCATAACATTGGGGTTACTACTGAGTATTGATGTACTGTGTAAGGCAGTTGCTGCACACCCAAGCAAGAGCTTACCACCTTCAATACTACATTGACATGGGGAGCTGAGGTAAGTAGGGTACGGAGTGAGGTATTCGGGCTTGCCTCTCTTCTGCTTTTTCTGTTTACTTTTTGACCAACATGGTAAAAGAGCCATGCCATGTCCGCCAATCTAGGGTACGTGGGTTTCTAACGCTTTCTACCTTACCGGAAGGAAGGTCTGAGGATAAGGTAGCGCACCAGTCAATGGCTCCCGCTTGCTCTTGCCAGTCTCTCCCAGTCTCTCAGGTCATACGGATAATGGTGATTTTTTAAAGAAATAAAAAAACATGGGAAAGCGCAAAGCGCCCTTGCTCAAAACAGAAACACCACACATGGCAGGTGTGCGATGGAGGGCGCCTTACCGAAACTTTAATCATCAACTGGACACTTTAAACGGCGCTTTTCTCACACCTTATCGTCAAGCTTGGAAGGTAGTAGTCAGCATTCCCTTGCCTGCCTCACTAAGGTAAACAACGTCTCTCTGAGAGCCTGAGCTCCTTACTGAGCTGAGCATGCATCGTACCTCAATCTTGGCGGCGGCTTGCCCTTTCCCCCAATTCCTTGCGCTCAGCTCGGCTCGATCACTCCTGCCTCACGTCCCATGTACTGGGAACCTTGCCTTGCGGATGGGAAGGAACTGAGAATGGGTGCTTTCCATGTCGCACAGGGCACCTTCTCCTGGTGGTACTTCGTAAGGTACTCAGCTTCACGGGAGTCCTCAATCACATCATCTTCCCGCACAAGGTGCCTCCCTTCGCCCATTACATCGCTGATGCCCTCGTCCTCGTCGTCTTCATCCGCCATCTCCATCTTCAAGCACACTGAACCCAACCTGCGGATACCTCACCTGCCAGCCCAGTCCGACCTCATCTTCTTCATCTGTCCACACTGCCATAAGCCAATCTCAATTCCGCATCCATGCGCCTTTTTGTTTTCCCCATCCTCGCTTTGGCATTTCCGTGTGCCATGCTCCCTTTGGCTTCATCATTCCCATTTAACCCCCCCCCCCCCCCCCGCTCCTTGCCCATCCTCCGCTTCTTCTGCCGTCTGCGGCCTGCCATCGGCGCCATCCATGCATTCGCTCTTCTTCTTTCTCATCCACAGGCCTCATCCTTCTCCTGTTAGTCTGCCAATGCGCCTACCGTCGCAGTACCATGTGGGTATAGTGGGTATCGTCTGATTAAGGCGCCGTCTCTTGGATCGGTCCTTTCTTGCGCCATCGCGCCTCTGACAGCTGGATGCCCCATGCCCGCGGCGCCGCCCCGAGAAAACGTTCAGCACTGACAATAGGCGCCGGAGCATTGTACAACTTCGTCCCTCAAGATACTCACTGGTGCGCCCTTTGTGTATTCTTTGCACAACCCATTCCTCGCACTTCTAGACTCTTGATCAAACTTCTGCATTACGCTTCGGACAGAGTGACAGACCTCGCCTAGATTGGCGCAGCCGCCCAACTGCCTCGGGCTTTAACCAGTCATTCCGCCGAGGGATACTCGCAATTCCCCGTCTTTGCTTTTTCGATCAATTCCATCCAGTTACTCAAGACAATCTGCCAGCCCCTCGTCACTCCCTCCGATGCTTCAGACGCACTCCATAGAGCGAACTAATACCGCACTCTCCGAACGGATACATTCCATCAACTTGGTGTGGCGGCTCTGGCCACCCGCATCTAGAAAATCACAGAAGGTTAGTGGACAGAACGAGGTGCCGCTTCATTCGTCTTGGAGTAATAAGCGACTCGGTGGCTCTCAAAGCCTGCGATACCTTTCAAGTCTCGTCGTCGAGCCGTTGACCCCCGTCAAACCTAATCCGCGCAACGCCACCTCATACTGCGCGCTCAGGTACTACGTACGGCGCTTGACAAGCGTCGCCTACCTATTTTTGTCAGTATGCAAAAGTTGCCTTTTCGTCATAAGCAGTCAACGGCCTATTACCTAGCAGAAACATCTACCGCCAAAGAATGAGGTCGGCTTGTACCAATACTTACACCACCACACTACGCCTGTTGGACATTGAAGATGGTGAAGGCTTGCCACAAGACCCCTGGACCCTTAAGCCGTGTGGCTGTGCAATCTCCGTTTTGCCCCTCGCCGAAGTGCCCTGAACAAACTGGAGAGCTGCCGAATCCCAATCGAGCTGAGCCAGGACGGCCAGTGTCCGAAGATAGAGACTTCTGGGTCATTTGACAGATCGCAGGATACACCAAAACGGTCATGCCCGACGAGTGCTGCCGTTGGAAGGGCATTACGCTTGCCGTGCGCTTGTAGACCAGGATCTTCGGGGATGTTCGTCTGAATGCGATCCCGAAGGACGGGCTGTATCCGCTTGTTGTCGGCCAACAACGACGACCTTAGAATTCATTCAGTCGATCATCGCTTCGACGGCTAGGTAGGCCGACACAAGTCACCGGCGACACCCCACGCCCAAGGCTCGATGAAGCCGGGAATTGATTCAGAAGCGGCAATGGTCTCGGATCGCATATTGCAACAACTGGCCTTTGGGGTGTCTCCTTTTCGCCTGGCGGCGATTCAATGTCTAGAGATTTCACTAGTGAATGCAGATCGCTACCCTGCAAGCCGCTCCGCCCAAAGCCAAGTAGCGTTCTTGATGTCAACCACGATTCAGCGATGCGATCAGCACTGCACTCATCAGCAGGACGTACACGATATCCGGACAGCGCTTTGCTACTTTGCATGATTC